CGCTATTTCGCTTCATAACTTTGTTCAGAGTCCCGTTTCGCAGAGTTGGAGAGCAGATTCGATATTAGCGTCCAAAGACATATTCTATTGGTGTCTGGCTAGCTAGTCTCAAACAGGAATACCGAAGAGCAGTCTTGCACGGGAAACGCTGGGTCCGGAGGGGGGACGGGGCAGCCGATCTTGAAGTCGTCGATCCTCTCAATAATCTGTGTTTTGCGCCGCTCCGCGCGCCTCCTTCGCCATCGCCCTGTAATCAGTAGAATTCATCTCTGCAAGAATTGCTTTGCTCTGCTTTGAATTAGAATTCATTGCTCCAACTTAGTGACTCAGCTTGTAACTGTACCAAGTATCGATAAATCCCTGTTCCTCACATTTCCCAAGACCTTACAATATGAATAAAAAACGTATTTACAATAGGCATATGACAGGAATAAATAATAGAGGCAAATAATTGTTAGAACTCAGAAGGAATAGAAAGTGATGTGGCAGCTACAGTTCGTGAAATATTGGTGGAGGGAGGGGAGAAGGTTGGCCCAAACAAGGAGGCGAAGGGCAATGGCCGGCCAACATTGCAAGCCGCTGGCGCAGGACGGCTCCGGATACCAACTTAGTAGGTCCGCCAACTCCTCCTGGGGCCATGTGGCGGGTGGGAGATCTAGCTAGAAATACAAAGGAAGCTGGGCTATAATTGAGAAATAATATGAATACAAATTAGGAAATAATAGCACATTTGGAAGAGGAACACATAGTGGCATGCGGTGTTAGTGGTCAGGTAATCGAGAATTGAGGAAGGCTATGTTAGAAGAGATTGTTGACGGCTGCTGAAATGAATGGATATCACTGTCAGCCAGAGGGCCTCAAGATTTCCATAACCACTTACATTATGTGCAGGTGACGGCTTTATCTTTAGGAACTGAATAGCTTTGTATGGTCCGGTTCTCTCCCACGAGGGAGCTGGACAATACAAACGCAATGCTGAGAATCGACCATATCTGTGAGGGAGCGCATGAGGGTGTTGTAGGCGCCCTAAACGAGAAGGTTGAGACGTGTGCAAACATTTCAGGCGGCGGCGAGACGTAGCTCATCATAAGGTAGAGATGATATTTCTTGCTCTTGACGAGCTCTCACTTTTGCTTTTCTTGTGAACGTTGCTTAAGGACTCTTATCCATGCTAAGTTATCAGCGATTGCCTATAGCACAAGTAAACAGAGCTGGCGAAGAGCTTCGAGCACTGTGCGCGTCATTTGCAAGTGACCGCCTCTGACACCCGTAGCGCACGCGTCAGGCAATTTCGTGCCAAGCAGAGGTGATATTCGTGTTCAGCGCGTCGAAATACCCCTTTCAACAACTTTTGGTCCAAATCTAAAATTTTGACTGAAGTCGAAAATGTGGGCAGTCATCTATCCATCAACCCACTGTCAGAGCCTGATCATGGGATGGAATTAAACTTTCAGTCATTGTTGTGAAAGAGATATACGTGTCTGCTTTACTTGCTTGTGCCATCCGAAGATTCATATGGTGTTTTCACAAGTACATGCTCGCTGCCTTTATGATAGTACAGCACGAGGGTAGTGGCTAAGGCTAGGGATAAT